AAGCTTCAACCTCAGGGCTCTGCCCTGGCGGCAGTGCCAGCCCCAGCCTCCTCTCCTCACTCCCAGCTCTTTGACCCTCCAGCTTCTCGGGGTTTGATTCCCAGTACAAGTGTCCAGCCCACACCAGTCTCCCTAATGGATGCTCTCCCCCTGCCCTTGTCTATCTTGAACAGTAGCTGCAGGTTGTCATTTTATATGTCATGTTTATACAAGCGAGGCCCCAGGTCCAGGCTGTTTCCCGGTCCTCTTTGCTCTCCCTAAGCCATGCAGATCCTAAACAGCACAGCCACGTCCAGAAGAGAAGCAGATGGCTAAAAAAATGACAACCCTAATTAGAAAGGCTCAGCAGGGTCCTCCTGCTGCCCCCCTGCCAGTGGCTGGGTGGAAAATGCTGCTCTGGCTGCAAACCCCACTCACTGCCTGAGGCTTGGCAAGTCTCTCCCTCAAGGAAGGGGATTTGGCATCTGCCTCTTGATGAAAGGACACAACAGGGTGTTTCAATGTATTTTGAGGGGATGTTTGGCATCAAGAGAGTGGCCCAGCTCCAGGCTTCCCAAAGCACCTCCCCGCTGCCCACCCCTGCCCCCTACATTGCAGCCACCTGCCATGCCATGAGCTGGCATCCCAGTGCTGGGCAGGGCATCATGTCCCTCCTCGCTCCACCACCAGCAGCGACCAGCCCTGTGGGATGCACTGCACTGCTCACAGGCCCATCTTCTCATTGATTTCCTTATGCCAGCTCGCCCTCACCAAAATGGGATGAGGGTTAGATGTGACCCTGTCACCCCCAGCCACTCAAAACCCCTTCATGGAGATGGGGCTCAGCCCCCATCTGAGATCTCTGTCTGTTGCTGGGTTCTTCCCCAAGGGAATGGGTCAGACTGGGTCACTCCAAAGTCTCCATCGTCCTTGTCCTCGCCAGCCACGGCTCCGCTGCCCTGCTGCAGGCCAGCAGCTGGGGAACTTGCTGACAGAGGGAGATTTTGGCTCCGGCCCGTCAGTCAGGATTAGGGGCCCTGTGAGCAGCGCGGGGGCCGTGGGGGCAGGCTGCTGGGCACACCATCACACCCACATTGCCATCTAGCCTCCCGCTCTGGGATCTGCAGCTTGCTGCCCTTGCCCCCGCCAACCCAGCGATGCTCGCTTTGGACCTGAGTCCAGCCTCTGGCTGCATTGCCCTCTGTTCAGCTGGGGTTTCGGCCATCTCCCCCTCCTCCCAGCCCCCAAAGTCACTAGCTGCCTCCCTCAGCTCTGTGGTCCATCCACCCTGCTTGGCACAGGGCCACGAGACAGGGCTTGCCTGTCTCCCCTCCTCAGTCTCCAAGCAGATGGAAGACATCAGCTCCTTGCTGCATCCCTCCGTGATAATCTGTCTCGCCCGCTTCCTTTCAGGGACAACCCTTCTCACGGCCAGCTAATTCCCAGTGCTCGCCTGTCTCTTTCCAGACCCTGGCCCTCACCAGAAAGCCCCATCTGGGCAAGCATCTCCCCAAAGGCCATCTCTCCCTACCCGTGCAGGATGCCCTAAAAGAAGACCCCTCTTCCCCAGTTCCCATGGAAGAATGTCTGGGCATGAAGTCCCCACCATCGCCAGTGAAATAGGCACCCTCTTGGGAACATCATCTGACGCAACCCCACAACCAAACACACGGGAATGGACACTAACCCAGGGGCCCAGTTGGAGCAGAAAAGGGAGGCACATTTGTAGCGGGGCAAGAAGACCCTGGGAAGGCTCTACTTTTGGCTTTCCCTTCCCCCTACAGCGGATGGCAGCTCCCCCAGAGGCTACACAGGAGATCAGCAAATTCCTCCTAAGTCCTGTCTCATGCTGGGAAATTTTCCCATTTACCATATAAAATCATCTTAATGGGAGAATAATAAACATAAACAGGGAGCAGGGGAGAGAATGACCTTCTGGCAGCAGCTGAGGTAGGTGGCGTTTTGGGTTTACTTCCCTGCAGCCATCCTTCAAGAAAAGGACCTGCAAGAATTGCTACCCACAGAGGAAATCACATCTGATTTCCTAGCAGAATGGATGTGCAAGGAAAAGCCTCCCATTCTGGGGAGAACTCAGTCTCAGATGGATCCCAAAGAAGGATGCCGCAAGCCAGAGCCCTGGAAACCCAACAGCCGCTACCAGGACGCCACCACCTCACTGCTCAGAAGGTTCTGGCACATCCAGAGCAGCACGGTGGCCAGTCTGGAAGTGGAAACAAGAAGATATCATCCCCTGTGTTGTAACAAAAGAGAAGACCTGGAATACAGGGCCTGCTTGAAGGCAAAGAGAGAGAGACTGGAGAACCTACACCAGCCTGGGCTGCTGGCAAGGCACCATCCATCGGCTCCTGCCTATGCAGTCTCCACCACTGGAGCAGCACTGGGGCAGCCAGAATGTGACCATCCCGCAGCCATGGCGGGGACACGTTCATCAGGATGGATGGGAGCAGGCTCAGGGCTCATCCACGAGCCAGGCCCCGTCCCCTCAGGCAGATGCTGCCACAGGCAGCACCTGGAATTTGCCAAGCACAGAGCTGTCACCACAGGCCAGGGATGGGAAAGACGGTAAAAACTGCAGGAGATGCTCTACGGGATATGCTTCGCTTAGCTGTCTGCATGCCTGCTTATTAAGCTCCAGGGTTAAGGATTTAGTTCCACATATCAGTTTGCTTAGAAATAAAGCATCGCTTCACATTTTAATCTCAAGTATGCTGCATTGTCTTGCCTGCTTCCTTCCATGCCCTCTCCCCACGACCTGAAAGACGGTAAAAACTGCAGGAGATGCTCTACGGGATATGCTTCGCTTAGCTGTCTGCATGCCTGCTTATTAAGCTCCAGGGTTAAGGATTTAGTTCCACATATCAGTTTGCTTAGAAATAAAGCATCGCTTCACATTTTAATCTCAAGTATGCTGCATTGTCTTGCCTGCTTCCTTCCATGCCCTCTCCCCACGACCTCTTCCCCAGCAAAATGCTGGAAGGTTATTAGCAAATATTCTGTGAAATATTTAATATCCAAACAGCAGGATCTATGCATCCCATCAGAGACTCATAGCCCTTATGGTCGGGACAAGAAAAACAAGGATTGTTTGCAGGCCCCAGGTCCTACTGGGAGATGCTTTGAGGCTGGAGCTGTTGCCAAGCAAAAACTTCACGGCAAAGCAGCCCTCTAGATGAGTTAAACCAAGCAAGCAGGGATGTAGGTATTCCAGCTTGGATAGACCCCACTTCCACTGTGCCCACAGCCTTTGCACAGAAACAAAATACCCTGTACAACTGACGTTCAGAAGTATATTTTTGGGCCCTGTGTTAGTGGAAGCCATCTTCCTCTTCTTTTCTCAAAAGGATTTACATTGAGGAAGCCTGAGCTCCTCCTGCCTGCAGGAAGGGCATGACACACATGTCAATTGCCTTATGATTTTTTATAAAAAAACACTATAAAAGTATTTGTTTATGTGCTTATTGAGGTTGGGGGACTTTCAAAGGTTGTGGAAGGTTTTTCTAAAGCAAGACTGCAAAGCTAATGTGGCTTAAATACTTTCCCTAAATATACATAAAACCATATACTCTTTTTCTACTCAAAACACTTCAGCCTGCTACTGGGATGAGCTTTGAAAAAGCTAAAAAGCACACCTAAACTGGGCTGTGGAGATTTATCTGCTGATGGCAGGACACAATGCTGACTTACCCACCCCGTCATCAAACTGGGGTAGAGCAGCACCCTGCAGCCCTGCACAAAGACCCCCCCTCGGTGCCAGGATCCGGCCTGTGCACCCAGGGCTCACTGCAGCCCCACAGCCCCTGCCCAACCCTGCTCCTGAAGCCAGAGCATCGCCAAAAGGGCTGGGAAGCTGCTCATAGAACAGTGTTTATCACCCCAAAAAAGAGCCCCGGGAGGATCTCAGGAACAAATTGAACCAAATTGAAAAGTTGGGCCACGGTATGCCATGTCTCTGATGGCATAAACATCACTTCCGAGCACAGAATTTAAATTTGAAGTGTCATCTTACCTGCATTACCTGGAGTATGAGGGGATCCAGAGCTCACCTTTTCCATGGGCAATGTGGATTCCACAGTGGGGAGCATGGGATGCAGATGCATCTGCTAGGAGTAACCAGCTGAAGGGTGGAATAGCTCAGTGCTGCAGTCTTCAGATACTCACACTGGGGCAACGCAGGGCCAAAGTAAGGAATTTTTCCTGCACAACAGGGATGGGAGGTGGAAGGACAAGGCACAGCCAGCTGCCACCAAACCAAAGGAGTTGGCCCAGGTGCATGAAGCTAGCCAGACTCCTGCTGGCTGCATCCCCTGCACCCTCTTCCCCAGCACTGCTATTTCTAGGAGTGCTCTGCCCCAATGTCCCTTTACCCACCACAAGCACCAAGTTTCTCTCCTCAGCTCCATGTGAAGGCAGCTGTTTGGCTCCCGGACCACAGCTGGAAAGCAGTACAGTGGTATTTGCCCACTACTGTGGCCGAGCTTAGGAAGCAGCACTGGACAACAGCCAGTCTCACCAACCGACATCACAGATAACGTCTGGTGTGGTCCCAAAATGCAGTCCAAAATGAAGCTTCTTTCTATGGACCTTTCAATCTGAACCCAGCTCCTGCATCACTGGGAGAACACAATTTCCTGAGGTTCGTCAGGTGGAGAGCATAGGCTGCATCTCAAACCTACTCCATTCACCTTCCCTTCCCACCTCTGCTTCCCTACCTCCAGCACACCCTGTTCAACCACACACCTCTCAAGTTCTAGGCCATCGTGCTCTCCCAATTTCTTTTCCTCCTAAAGACTCTTCTTAGGCAAAGAGATAGAAACTAATCCTTTAACTGAATGTGCCCAAGGCATCAACAGTTCGTTATATCTCTCTCCTACTCTATTAACATGAACACATCTTGTAGACCCCAGTGGCACTGGGCCAGGGACTATGCTTTGTGTCTTGCTTCTGGCAAACTGGGAAAGGTGGGAATAGGGAAAACAGAGCATAAACTACAAAACAAGAAGGATTTTCATGTTCTCATTTTAATGATTACAAACCAAATGAACACCACTGGAGCAGTAAGGGTGAAGGACCGTTTCCCAAACACACTGCAGATGTTCTGTGAAATAAATCAACCTTCCTTTGGAGAAAAATAAGGTATTTCAACTATTTGCTTGTAATTCTTAAACAGGAAGAGGGATTCTTGATGAACCTCAACTTTTTGACATTTCACCATTTTCTAGAGAAAGACCAAGGAACAGCTACTGTATGAAAGGATATTAACAGGACTGCCAGAGACCTTTCTTCACTTTCATACAAAGTTGTGGGCAATGGCCAACACTTTGGAGAACTCTCCTTCTCTCCGTCGCAGGATATAGGGTATTGGTGTTTTTATTCTAGTCCCTACTGGATTTCCGTTGTCTTCTATGAGTACCACATTGTTGGAATCAAATCTAGGCGTCATGACGGGGCCAGGCATCTTGTGCCCTACAATTAGCGCCTTCTTCTTTTCCCCCTTGATAGCCAGCAGGATCATGTCTCCCACTTTGCCAACTCCGGTCTTGTTATACACGTGGATGCATTTTGGTGGCCGGTGGTACGGCGTGTTCCCCAAGGCGCTGTTGTCCACCACTCGCACACGGGTGAGCTTCTGTATTGCTTGGCATGCTCCAGTGACACTAGCAAAAGACAAGAAAGAATGAGAGACAGATCTCCTCAATAATCCTTGGGGAGCAAGGGCAAATCCAGCACAGGGTCTTGTCATTACACAAACCACTCAGAAGGTGCCAACAACAAATACATACCATATGGGTGACACATTGACTGCGTTCAATGTGCTCTTTGAAAGCGAGATGCTACTTTGGGCTTTGCATACTCTTCACTAAATGTCAAACACAAAACGACTGTTCTACCCTGAAACACAACTGAAAGATGGCATGACGAGTGGCTTGCATTTACTGGGCTTTTTAGCAACTGCAGATGATTCCATTCAACTTCAATTTCCATGCAAAAAACCGCGCTTGCTTCTGCTACAAATTGCCCACAGGAAGCTAAGGCTCAAGTCAGGCTCTTTCAATCTTGTACACAGTCCTCAGCAATAAGTACTTCTCTGACCAATCTTCTTTTCAGTGAAGTCTATGAGCATCTCCCACCTCATTCTGCTCTCAGTGGGACCTCTGCAGTTCTGCTGTGGCTGTGCTAAGCTGCCACCAACCAGAATCTAACAGATTATCACCTTCCCCACATGGGAGGAACCCTGAGAGATGCAGTCTCTTCTGTATCTGTTTACTCTGCGGGATTATCAGGAGTAAGAAACAACGGAAATAAACTGTCTATACTAAGTTGTTAGATCTGACTCTGAATGTGCTTGGGAACAGCAGGAATAAACAGAGACATAATTCAACCTTCCTTACAGGAATGGCTATTCAAAAGACCTGTATTTGTGATGCTGCTTAGAAGAAGAGCAAGCGATACCCTGCGCATCAAACGCAGTGTGGATGGCCATCAGTTGAAACAGACATTTTTGCATGCAGTAAGGGAAGGCTGGGTCAGACTGCATTATTCTTAACTGCTCCGGAGGTCAAGCGCTGCCTTTCAGGATTTGTTTCGCACCGCAGAGGCCAACGCAGCAGTAGCACAAAACTGTAAGTGTGATTGCCCAGGTACCACTATGCAAGAGTAACTGCACAAGGAGGACATTTTCTTTCCCCTCCTTTCTTCATTTCTGCCAGTTTTGGAGCAAAACCCTCCCACATCCAAAGCAGGCCCACCTCACAGAAAAGGTTTCCCCAGTAAAACTGTTGGCATCCTGCAGTAGCACTGCTCATTTCTGTGGACTTCGCCTTCCTCTTGCTGTCAGTGTATAAATACCCTTTAAATGTCTACTAGCCCATGCTCTCATGCAGCTCACTTACAGAGAAAGCCAGTAAGATTTAGATACCTCCTTCAGATGGCTCCTGGGACTATCACACAATGTAGCCCTGAGCATTGTCTTAATCCCCTCCCTAGACCATAGTCATGGGAATGACCCTTTACACTGAAACCATAATACTTCAAAGAGTTATTCAGGTAGTTTTGTTCTAAGTAACTAAATTTATCAACTCTGGAATAATTTTAAACAGGTAATGGGCTCTGCATCAGCAGGGCCTGGCTGTCACTTTTTTGCACTTGCCTGAGAAACACAGGCACTTTCAACTTCTGCTTGCAGGCCCTTGCACCACCCTCAGTGACCTAAAGCTTCCTTACATGCTTATAAAAATGCAGAGTTCAGACCATGTTCAGACTGCCAGGAACCTGCACATGTTGTTGTGTCGGGGCTCACTTTACAACCTGTGAAAAGACAACTGTGAGATTTTTTTTTAAAAATAATATTATCCTTTTTGAATTAGAAATATTGTATCTTACACTTGACCTATCTTTCAATCAGGAAGTTCTCCTAAGAACACAAAAGCAAAAGCAAGATTTGACAATTACCTGAAGTGCCGCTGGATCACTGCACTGCTTAGATGGGTTAAGGATAAACCCAGCTGCCTATTCAAGAGAGCCATTTGGATTCTGGTAACCCGCCCTGCATAAGAAACAAGAGAATCATGAAATCTGGGAAATGGAAAGAGTTTGTTTTGCTTTCTTTCCCTTACGTGAATCACCCACTAGAGCCTCAGCACCTCTTTAGATGCTGCAATCCACAGCACACAGAGTGCTCGCAGCATCCGCAGCACACTACAAAGTGGATCAACAACCCCCGTCTGAGTTCAGCAGACAATATAATTCAGACGCATACACTACAAAGCTGATTCAGTATCGCTGCACCGCAGTTTCCTGTGCACAGAGGTAAGGGCCCTTCTGCGTGCCCTGTGAACCATGTAACAAGCAGCAGGTTTGAGAATTTCAGATGTGGACTAGTTTAAAGGCTGCAGTGACCAGTAAAAGCTACCGTGGTTACTTGTAAAAGCCACCAATGTTACCTATAAAACCAAGCAAAAAGCCAGAGATGCTCTGCAGACTGGCATCAGAGCTTCAAGAAACAATTTGCCAGTCAAGACACAAGACAAAGTGCCACTGGTGAGGGCACACTCCCTCTTAACACATACATGGCGCTGAGGAGCCACTGTGCAGAGATCCGGATCACATCCCTCCCAGTCTGGGCTGCCCAGATGAAACAGTTCCCTGTAACTTTATGGTGCAAGCTCAACCCAAACCAAAAGCACTACCTCAACTGCCGCAGAGCTGGGTGACAAGGTCAACCACCAAGCTCACCACACCCTTTCCCCTGACTACATCTTTGGCGGTTCCCTAACCTCATTCTGTCAGACTAATGGGGACCAGCTTGCACCAGCAATCACAAAGGTTTATCTGAACCGGATTGCTTTGCCAGACATCAGTTTGGGAGCAGATCCAAGTGAGGGCAGAAAATAACACAGACCTAAAGCCAGTCCTGTTTATGGCCAGCTCAGGTAGAGCAAAGACTTTACACCTGCCTGCAGCCACTGCTGTGCTACACTGCTTGCCTAGACGTTGGCAATGCACCCAATGCATGCTCTGTTTCTCTCCTTTCTAAAGCAAACATTAAAAATACATTGACCTCTTATCTCCCTTTGCCAGCCCTGACGAGCTTAGGGTCAAACTGTAGCAGAACACTGTAAAATCGTTTTCTTAACTTTTACTTTAAAAACAAAGCTGACAATTTCTCTGGGGAGAAAAAAATACCCACAGAGCCTTCTGACAGAAAATGCCCCAGCTGTTCTTATTACAACCAAGCAAAGCCCAGGCTAAATCTTCACTCTCTCTTTATTATTTTTCCCCCGTGTCTTTACTTACTTGGGGATGTGTGCAATGTTTAGTTTGCGGTTGTCCTACAAAGCAAGCGTCACCTGACAGCAAGATGAGAAGCACTGGAGATGTGCACCACAGCAGTTTTGTAGCAGCACTTCCTGAGCGAAGCACGCAATATGTGGCAAACTGTCTTGCCTGTCATACAGGCAGGTTTGGGAGAAATCAGCAACAGCCAAAGCTCACACCTATTTGATAAACAAGACCACTTTTCAGTGGGGTAGAGATCTCCAAGCAAGTTCACAGCTTCCCTTTGGAGCTTGCCTGCGTTGTTCCCTCTCTGAAATAAGACTCCAAGAAGTCTGTATTTCTGCCACAGCTCCTTACCTGGCTGTGCAATCCTAATGAAAACAAGGCCCTGCAGTACTTACACTGCTGCTGGCAATGAAGGTCCAATTACCTGGGCTTTGCTACTGCTCCTAGGATTTCTGAGCAAGCCTGACTACATTGCCTTGCTGTAAGCCCACACCCTGGGCTGGCAAGGAGCACAGCCCATGTCCGGTTCTGCACCTCAGTGTACTATTTCCCTGCATGAAACTCAAACCCGGTGGGTAATGTTGCTCCTACTTCCTCCAGAATCACACCAAGGCCTTGGATCCCTCCAGAGGACCCAGACAAGCAGCAGCAGCAGCAGCAAGTCGGCCTCTCTCTGCCCATCTTTGAGGGATGCTTCCTGAGGAGTCCAGCTCTATGCCCCTAGCAGGCATGGTGGCCTCGCTGGCAGGAGAGGATGGGCCTGCTCACCCTCACCACTACCTCAGTCCGAGAGGAGAGGTCTGCTGGCTCGCAGCAGGACAGGCACGGGCACACGCGCTGCCCGCTGTCGGAGGGACAGCAACATCATGGCCAGCATAGGTGTACTCAAGGCCACAAGTCAGAGTCCTAAAGCACTGCCTAAACTCTGAAGTCACTCCCCACTTCTGGGAGGAGTCACCGTTTGTTTCTACCCTGTGGCAACAATGAGCGTTTGAGGTTACAAAACTACCAGCAGAAGCATCAACAGCGTTAAGCATCCAAGGACTGTTTATTTTTCCTGATGACTCAGTAGCCCCTTCCTTGCTAAGAATTATTCCTTGGCACACTAAGATGTGTCACAAACTAAGAAACTTCGTATGATTTATTATTTGGTATGAAGCATCCTGTTAGGAACTGAGTAAACAGGGGGGATGCTTCCAGTTGACAGAAAAGTTCAGGGTGAAGGGAAGAGAAGAATGCATCTGTGGCATGGAGTATGGCATGCAAGGGTGCAAGCAGGTTCACAAACGGTGAATCATATCTTCAGCTATTGTAACACGCCAGCTTCCCTTCTGGAAACCAACAGCCAACAGTTTGGATCTGTCTCCAGGTGCTCTTCAACCAGACCCAGTCCTGACTTGCTCCCTCTGCGGCTGTGAACAGGGTGCTCGATCTTCCACCCTCAGTCTCCCCCTCTGTGGAGCAGCCAATTCCTAACCTAAACTCCAAATGGTGCAGAAGTCACTCGCTCTGTCACGTTGCCAACGCAAATGCTCCGAGTTGGTGTCAAAGCTGAAGAGTCTCTACAAAAGCGATGACAGCCATCGGCCCCAGCGCAGCTGGCACCTCTCTGCTTCCCAGCACTGATGCTGCCTCACAGCAGCGGGCCCTAAAAAGGCTCTGAGGACACTGCACTTACCACAGGCACGGGGAATGCACGTGACCCCTGTTTGCTTCTGAAGGTGGCTCTCCTCTCCCAAGGTTCAATGTTTCAGGTTTCAGTGCTCAGAGGTGTATGGGAAGAGTAGCCCCATAACTGTCAAACACTGAAAAATTCGCAGGAATCCCCAAAAGTTGGCTGTTGATAATGCCCAACTGATATAGGAGTACACCCGCGTATACCCTAGATAGACAGAATACCACTGCTGCTTAGCACTTAGTCACTAATACACACCTGACCAAGGAATTATCTTGGAAGGGACTTTTGGAGGTCATCTAGTCCAATCTCCTGTTCAAGCAGGATTAATTTCCAAGTTGTCCATGCTAGGCAAGAGCAGTATTTAAGCAGGCACTACCCTAAAATGAAAGGCTGACCACAAAGACAAGTATGATACAGTGTAGCCACACGTAGCTGCACCAAAGCAGTGATAAAGAACCACACAGAGCAACCTCTTCCCCAGCTCCTACCATGCTGCCCCTAAATGCTAAGCTTTAATTCTTAAATCTGGCTTAAATTTCTTAAAACGAGAATCATAGAGGCATTTTGCTTCTCTCTGCACCACATTATCAGTTAAAAGTTAGTGCAGATCTCAGACTGAGTTCAGAGTAAGATTCAGAAAGGGTAAAGGAATCTGGTAATCAAATACTCAATAAAATGACCCAATTTCTACTTCACTGTATAAGTCTGAGCACACAATAACCTGCAGCAACAAACACTCCCTTCTCGAGAGCCCTCCAGCCATACCCCATTCAGTGCAACAGACTGACATCAAATACCAACACCGCTCAACAAAGGAACCCTTCACCAGTTACAAACTGCTGGAAGTTATTTACCCACTGCACCACTTTCAAGTGCCATACTAAAGCAACCACCTTCACTGCTGCCCCTTGAGATTCAAGAACTAACTTATATTTACCACAATCTTGAGTGCATTTTGAATGAAAGAGGTTTGGAAAATTTCATCCCAGCTAACAGAAGCAGGCCATATACAATATTTTCGTCAAACGGGCGCAAGCACGTGAGCAGACCACCTCAAGAAGCTGATACAAAGCAAGGACATCTCCTAGATAAGGGGGACAGGATTACACACTCACTTTGAACCAACATCAGAGCACAAAGTACCAAGAACAGAAGCCCTCCATTCCCCCCAGACACATTTCCATCCCCTCCCTTCTGCTGGCCCGAGCATTCATGTAAATCACAGTTTTCAGCTAGATCAGTTCTCTGATCCAACTCGTCCCACAGCCACGTGAATGCTGGTGCAAAATGTAGCAAAACTCAAGACTGGGACTTCTCTTTCACTGTCAACCCAGACTTACATAGTGACAGCATCTCCAGAGAAACACCGGGAGACTTGGACAAGAAAAGGATCTCGCTCATTTCAGCAAAAACACTGATGTGCTTCACAGGAATGGTCAGCATGAATCTGCACTATTAACACAGCCATGGATCTGCATCTGAACACTCAAGAGGCCAGCACAATGGCTCTGACCAAATTTTAATCAGCAGCGTACACCCTAAAAACCAAAGTACTGTTCCTGCACCCTAGAGTAAAGGTGCTTTTAAATAGTGCTGCTACCTAGCAATCCAGCATTACTTTCCTTTTTAATCACAAGCTTTGGAAATGACCCCTGCTCTCTATATTCCCAAGATCTGCAGCTCTGCAACCATTCAGCTATTTATTTTCCTTCTTTCTGCTAGTAAATTATCCACATAAACAGGCCTCAAGGAAAACCAACGGATGCTGCAAAGCAAATGCTGAGGCCTACTACCCAAAGCCTGCTGTCAAACATACAAAATAAAACAGAAAAATATTCTTCACTTTAATAGTAGTAACCTGATTTGCACTGTCAGCCAATGGGGGCCAATATCCCCTTTAGTCTTCCAGGTGGCCAAAACAGACATGCTCCAGGCACCACAAAGACTTGAACTGCATCTGTCATCCATCATTAAAACACAGGAAATAAATCCAAGACAATACATGTGATGCAAATACCTAAACCCCTACTCTGCCACTGCAGGTTTATTTATAGACCATCTCTCAGGGTGAGCTACAAGA